GAGAGAGAGAGAGAGAGAGAGAGAGAGAGAGAGAGAGAGAGAGAGAGTGAATAAAATTCGGACCGAATAAAATTTTATACGAAAAATTTGCGATTTCGGCCTGAGTGATGGGAATAACGCTTTTCTTGCATCGTATTTGGTGCTTTGATGCGATATGATACGATAACAACCAAAATATACATTTCCAATGATATGGAAAATAGCTTTTGGTTCACTGCATCATTACATGACTACTCAAAACTCATCTACACATTCATGTTCGCATTATATAGCGCTCATGATCGCTTACCGAAACTGTAACGCACCACATTTTATATGATTATTTAAATGTGTAGCGACTAACGACGCTAATAAGATTGTTTTTTCATTGCTCTGCAAGCATATGGAAATGTGACTGTCTTTATTCTTCTGCGCGCACGCACACCACCACCACCACCAGCACACATTTCAAACAGGGAATGACCCAACGCCATTAAACCAGCATTTCCATTAACATTTATTTTCATTATTCGCTGGTTGTAAAATTTAACTGTTTTATCCATGATTTTAGTGATTATTGCTGATGTTACCGTTTGTTCTATGCTCTCTCTCCCTCTCCCTTGCTCGCATTTCATTTATTGGCTGAATCGATGTATAATGTGTAAACATCTAGGGGAAAATGTGCGAGTAATACCGTTAACATTCCAAAATAAGACATTGCTGCTAGTGCAGCAGATTAAAGTGATTTTTTTTTCTAATTCGAGAGCAATCCCATAATCGGAATATATTTTTAGAAATGCTAAAACTGACGTACATCCCATAAAATACATATGTATATATGCTCCATTTTCATTATCTTTAGCCTGTGGAAATATTTATTTAATTTAACTTGTTTCTTTCTGTTATCTCAACATTTTAGCCGTCAAGCTGTCTGTCGGACAAGGAAGAAGATGAAATTTATGGTTTTGGATACGGTGTGTTTGCGCCACGTGTTGGACGGCCAATCGCACATCAACCCACAACAACAGTGAACGTTCATCATCATCCTCAAAATCACGTGCAACCTTCGCAACAGCTCTCTTCATCGCAACCGAACCAGTTACACCAGCAAATCATTCATCCGCAACAGCATTTGCCACAACATTTGCCACAGCAACTTCAGCATGTACCTGCTGGTCAGCAAAGGTGTTTGTTTAGACAAAAAAATTTCATTTTGTTTCTTTTTATTCGATTTCCGTTTGTTGTGTTCCCATTTCTCATGTGTTTGAACTCGTTTTTTCATTTTCTGTTCGCTCTATGTTCTATCACTCATTTTTTGTTGTGGCTTTTTTGTCGGTGTTTTTCGTTCGCTCAACATTCTATTTATTTGCGTATGCCTTTCAAGTTTTACGCCTTTCCTACGTATGTACTCTATGGTAACATCATACACATAAATATTTTCAGTAACACTTCGGGCACTTTTCACTTTCTGCAGAACCCATTTACTTTGTCATGATACTACTACATGTGTGTATGTGTGTGTGTTTATCTATGCCTTTTTTATCCTTATTTTGAATTTGAATTTTGTGGCCTTTCATCTGCTTCTTTTCCGTTTTCATTCTCATGTGTGCTGTGCATATAAGTGTTTTGGTTTTTTTTAAATTCTGTATTTTGCACGATGGGCATTTTATATGGTGATTGCAATCATGTGTTTGTTTTGTATATTTAACCGGTAAATTTGGTTGCTTTGTTACGTCATTCATACATGTTCTGTTCATTCATTTTCGATCTACTTCGATGCATTCGTTTACATTTTCGTCGAACCCCTGATTCCGTATGAATTGTGATGGGTCGATGAGGAAAAAAAAACCCTGTTCTCGCCATAAAGATTATACATAGACACACATAAATCCCACATATATGAATATTAAACTACATGATTTTGAGTATCAATGTTCTGTTCGCTTCATGGATTTTACATACTCATACACACAAAACATATCTATTTATTTGGGTGATTTTTCCACTCATCCATAATTCAACGGACGATACCAAATTTTGTGCGTCATTGTGAAATCCACTGATTTTTCTCTTCGATAAGAAAAAAAAGGTTGACCGAATGATTTCAGCGTCACTAAACCAACTGCTGTGGATATGCTTGCGAATGGACTGATTTTGCGACAGCAACAAACAACAAGGCAGTTTCAAGTGTCTTCTCAAGTGATATTTGAATTTTACACATGACAAAGGTCTGCAGATGCTGTTCGGTTTATAAACCATTTCCCAGAAGAAAAAGAACAAAAAATCCGATAGTTCAATAAATATTGCAATTCTATCGATTCAATTTGATTTTGTTCCGCATATATATCAAATTAAATGTTGAAAATGTTCCGAAGTATCGTATACGAAAAAGCATTCACTCGATTGAATTTCCCACCGAGAAGAAGAGGATGAAGAACGAGAGAGAGAGAGAGAGAGAGAGAGAGAGTCAAGAGGTTTTGCGATGAATCGCTTCAATATGCATATTAATAGTGAAAATTTGATTAAATCCACTGAAAATGCCGACAGCTATAAATGTTCGATCGACCGAATTCCGATCATCGAGAAGGATGCAAACGGAGAGGAAGAGAAATCATCCAATTTCCGAACAAATATCAAATTTATTCAATAGGGCATTATAATACGTCATTTCCAATTTAATGAATGAACTTGTACGGTTATTCAATACCATTTAAATAAATCACTGGGTTTTCCTTTCGACGTGATTGTCTTAAGTATTTCTTCTCTCTGCGTTCAGAGTTTAGATGCTGAATGACATGCAGCCGCTATGTGTCATCGTCGTCGTTGTTTTCGTTCGAACAACGAAACCGAACATTATCAAATGAAAATCGGGTTAGCCAACACAACCACGAATTGGGTTTGAATTTTGCCGAACTGAAAATTATCGATCGTTTTGGCCCGTTCCAATGAAATTTGTATTAAGCATGGCTCACTGCTTTCGACTATACAATGCATTTGCCGAAGTAGATTTACGAAGAATTTGTGTATTGAGACCATCAGCAGCTTAACTTGATGATGAGAAATTTATTCGGCAATGCATCGCATTTATCTCATCAAGAAGATGTGCAAATTAAAAATTTTATTAGATTCAATCAGCGTCTTCAGATTTCGTCCATTCTCTGCCACCGTCGTCGACGCTTTGCTCATTCAAAATGCAGAAAACATTTTCAACTATGAAATTGATAAAGTAATTATGAATGCAAAGCACTTGATCGATTTTAGCAATTTATTAAAAGTGACTGTGCCTGCTGGCTGGCTGACTGGCTGCACTACTTTCACACACACACATACAGAAGACAAAAGCGGATTAAATTAAATATGTGCTTCGTTCGGTATATTGCAGAGCGAGAGTTTTCCTTCAATTGCATTATCAAAAATTGAAGCTATCATCGCATCAGAACGATGTCTTGGAAGGGCACTCAAGTGGTTTTGTCATGGCTGGTCATTGACTCGTTTTGCATCGTGCGCGCTCCTTCGTTCTCATCCATTTTCCATTCCTTTTATTACTTCCATTAATTTATTATTATTATTTCGTTATTTTATTTTCAAATTAATTTCATTTCATTCTATTTTCATTTTGCTTATTACAAGTGGTAACATTATTTAAGTTTCTCATTCGTTTCATGCATATTAATTGAGTTGGTAGTTTGGGTGTAAATTCGTTCTTTCTTTTTATTTCATTACATTTCATTTTACGGCACTTTTCAACAACATTTTCTAGCATTTGGCTCTATGTGTGCATTTGTTTGTGTTTGCTTTTCTGTCTCTGTCTCACTCATAAAGTATTCAAATTTTTCAAAAGTTGACGTTCATATTAATATAGTTGCTGCTGTTGTTGCTGGTGGTGGTGTTGTTATCATCACAACAATGCACGCGCACATTTTGCATGTTATTTGTATAAATATCTTGTATATTCACACTCTCATTTTCCATTTTGCGCTATCAATAAATCTTTTTGGTTTGACTGGAAACGACTGAACGAAAAAAAAAAACAAGTGAGCACAGGAGAGACACACAAACTCATAAAAAAATAACCAACAATAACAATAATTAAAGTTTTCTTTTTTCAAATTTATTTTATTCATTTTCTCTCGTTTACTTTTTCCTCGTTCATGTTCTGCACTGCTATTTCGGCGTACATCAATTTGCAGTTGCCTTAGTCCGCGGTCAGCCTATTTCTATGAGTTTCCCCCGACAACTAACGGTAAGTGTATAACACTGTCATTTTTATGACTTTTATTTCATATTTTGTATTTACTGTGGAATTTTCCACATATTTTTCACATCATTGCGTATATCTTTTGGGTGGCGGGCCACGATGCATGCAACCGCCGCATATCGTGAGACGTGGCCAATGTACTATCGCAGTACATGTACTTGAAATAAATATGTACAAATGGAAATTGTAATATATGCAAATGTTCTTCGTCGTCGATGTAGAGTGGCCAGAGCGATATAGAGCAGTAGCAGTTAGCAATCAAACAAAAACAAACTCGAAGTCGCAACAACTGCGACTGCAAAGTGTAAACAACATAACGCAAAAATGACTGGGAAAAATTGTGTTGGGCGAGGAGCGTGCCATCTTTGCTATCTCTGTCTCGTGATGGTGATTTGGCTGTAATATTGGTTGCACGAAAGCAACAAATTCCAAATGTGTACTTGGTTGTTCCATGTAATGAGGGAATTTATAAAATAACTTCGCCGAAACCTCATTTATTTAATTTTAAATGCCTTTTTTGGGGCCGAATTTATTTGCCATTTCTGAGCTATTCAGCAGGCCATTTGGTTGTCTCCAGCCTAACGATAGAGGAATGTCTCTTACTGGTTGGCGCATGCCATGGTTTTTTCACCCCAAACTCAACCAGTCCCACCTCCATGTCAGTCCATACACTTTTTACGAATCGGCTCTTATGTGTTGCTATTACCGGCTCTCCTTATATACGCAACGATGCAACACGCTAGTTTTTCTTCATTCAACTCGAAAAAAAAACTTTTTTATTGCATTTTATTTCATTTTGTTTGTTTGTTTTTCCGGTGCCGTTTCTCTCTCCATGTCTTTCGGTTATCTCGCCCACCACATCTAGCAGAGGGAAGGGAAACAAAGAAGAGGACGACATTAGCAAGGTTATTAAAAGGCCTTAAAACTGTAAATAGACGCGATAGGACAAATAATCAAAATTCACAAACACAAGCTAGGGTAAGTAAACATGTAATTTTCACTAGATTCATTTGGTGCGTTTCGAATTGAAAACTTGGCAAATGCGCTTCTCGTGACTCTCTTACGAACAAGACGAAGCAAAAGAAGAAGAAGAAGAAGAGGAAAAGACAAAATAGAAAAAAGTACACATAATGAAGTTGTCTGGCTGAAACACAATGCCAATTACAATCCATTCTTTTTTGGGGAGCCAGTTCAAGCAGTTATGCGCTAACGCTGGCAGCAGCTTTGACGTCGAAACCCCCACATTTTTTGTGTGTGTGCATCAAACATTTTCATAGTTCACCTTTGCAAGATTGTATGAAGAATGGGGCACAGAATTTATTCAGACTCACCTCACGAAACAATGTGCATTTCATCAAGTACGGCCTTTTTTTGTGAGTGTTTACGAGTGCAAATTAAAATTTGTGAAGCAGAGAGAGTACAAAGTAATCAGTTAACTTTTTTTCCTTAGTAGAATAGTCGTTCTATGGAATATGCTTAAGATAAAACTGTGATGCAAATAAGACGTACTCTGTTCATATCATATTTATGACTGGTCTTGATATTTTTCATCAGAAATCGTTTTTGGAGCTAAATTGCGGCTAAATGACTTCATATTCATGAGCTGAATCAAAATCAAAAGAAACTCGGTGCTCGAAAGCATAATGTGCGAATAGACACGGTGACGGAAAGTGACGCTTTTAAAAGTGTTAAAGAACTATACAAATGAGCACAGAGACCAGTGCCGAAAAGAAAAAGGAAATGACAGTGAATGAATGTACAATGTACATGATTGTGATGCGCCAGACAAATACATTAAATTGTATTTGCCTCAACGCATCATCGGCTTTAGAAGCTTGCGAATGTAACGTTCTTTAGTAGGACCGATGGTGAAACCTTGTTACAGATGAACACGAAACACACTTCATCTTCTGTTTTTTTTTTCTTCCTTCGTTCAACAAAGAAGTAAAAGAAAATGGCATTTTCTTCGTGATAATATTCTACAGCATTTCAGCGGGATAATTTTGATCAAGGGCTCAGCGTTTCTTTTGTGTTTATTAATTCAAACTCATTGAGCAGACTTGCACAGCACAGCGTTTGTGCATGTGCAAACCATACGGATTGAAATGTGTGTAATATGCGCACGTTTTCACTCCTATTAAAATAATTCTCTTTTATAGATTTTTTTTTGTTCCACTGTGTGGATCGTCGTTCGATATATATATATATAAGTGGAAAGTGCATTGCAAGTTCTTTATCCCGTTGGCGGAGACGGCGGCTTGTTCACGTGGTTGTTTCTTTATTTTAAATACTTTCAAATTACATCCTCTGGCTGAATGCTAATTCATCAACGAAATTGCGACGTGTGATGTGAATATGCATATGTGTCGATGATACGGCTGACTTAATCATACACATACATAGCCACAGCAAGGATGTCTAGTGTCTGCATTTCAATGCATCATACAATAACAGCTGCCAGCCGTACCAACCAGCCATCCAGTCAGCCAAACCGGCAGGCAGACAGACAGACAGTGTTCTCTTCGTCTCAAGCGAAAGTGTTAAAAGAATACCCTCAATATGGGTGCAATTTTGTGCCTCGTCGGTACTTTTTCTTCATTTCTATTGTTTAACATTTTTTTTCCTTTTGTTTCCATTTCCATTCCACACCGTACACACGTACCGATGTATAAGGACGATGATGACGACGAACAAGCGGGCGGTTAGTGTATGAAAATGCACTCGAACCTAGAGAAGAACAATATTGTTGTAAAACAGCCAAAGAGTGTGAGTGTGAGCGAGAGGGTGCAAAAGAAAGACGAGTGTTTCGTGTGCTGTTCGTGTGCGTAATCCAAAGTAACTTCAGAAATATTTATGTGTCTAGCATCTCTCGTGCAACTCATTCACACATGCAATCGTGTATTATTTTCGCACAGTCACCGCCTTCATCGACACCAGAAGCATCGAACCGATTTAAATATGTTTCTTTTTCTCCTTTCTTTCTTGCTCAGTGGATAAAAGGAAAAAGAAAACAACACACATACCCGGTTACATGCTTCTCTCTTTTCGAACGCAAACTACAAAAGCTTCAAACGAAAGAAAATTGGAGGAAAATTCTAACGATAAAGGGAAAACAAAATGGAAATTTATTGTAACAATATGCAATTTAGATTTTCTGTGTGTATGCATTTGAGTCAGTCCGCTACACTGACTTCAACTCATACACACACGTTGACAACGATGATGACGACGTGCATTGCAATTTTCTGTGTCTGCACATACATGTGTGTTTACATTATAAAATGCACACAGCATTCACACACTTTTGTTCATCGAAGAATAGGAAAATTGTTGGCGTTCGCAATTTTATTGTGAAAATTGTTTCGCTTTTCTTTTGAGATGCGATGCAGTCGATCGGCTTGCGTTGGCACTTTTGCCAATAACATAATGTTGTTGATTTTCTTCCATCGAGGGAATACAACACTGTTGTTATTCATCATTAATTTATAGAGAAAATGTGCTCACACTAAACTCCAACGTAAGTCACGTGCGTTTCGACAATCTAGGCACCCCCAACCCATCTACTAATGAGCATATGCACTCGGTTTATCTAACCGAATCCGCTGACAGCATTCGACGGAAGTCGATGCATGAAACTTCGTGGCAATTTAATTAAAGTTTCAAATTGCACAAAAGACATGTGTAACCGCCAATTGGTAAAGTCGAAAACAAAATCCAGAGTTAGATGTTGGGCCCAAGAGTTTCTGAGGAGAAATCGTACTGTGCAGTGTGTTGTGCAAAAGCAGGTGCGTCGTGAAGTCACATTTGCAGTCATAATGCTCTACGTCTGTTTGTATGAAGCTGAACTGAGATCATGACATTCATTTGTGCGTTTCGCGCAAGAGAGTGAAATCAAGGGGCAAATCATCCAAGAGGTACAATTATAAAAAATTCATTGCAAAAGAAGGAAAAACCAGTTAGAAGATTCAGTTTTCACACAAAAAAAATTACTCTTGAGTGATTTTCCCATCGAGTGAACTACTACTTATTACAACATACGAAGTCATTGATTACTGAAATTCAATGTTTACAAGTAATTTGTCCCATGGTTCACCGTCAAAGGTCATTGTGGTTGTATTTTATCGATTTTGCTGCGTGCACAGTTATGCCAGTTGTTTTCTTCAAAAATGCGTCGTTAGCATAAGCGTTCTCCTTTGAAGTCTAATGCCTGGAATGTACTAGAGCGAAAAATTGCTCCTATTAAAGGCATTAAGTCGTCTGGATCCATTCTCTCATAAAAGCTTAATGCCGTTCTAAACCGAAATCATGTTGTACATTGTTTGCATCGTATCACCTTTGCTCGACGGTTTTATTTTCCTCTTCGTTCGCACACAGTGCGCCAAAGTTGTTGTGTATGCACGTTAGTTAGCATAAAGTTAAGCATCGGCGAAACCATTGCGTTGCTATTCATTTACGCTCTTTTTGTTTGTATTTCCTGCATTTTCAATTCGAACTCGAGTACATTTATTTATCTCAACGATGTCTCAAGAGCTTTTTGTTATGCAATGCGTATGATTCTTGTGAAGAGTGGAAAAGCTTAAAGGATGAAAAGATATAGGCCAGAAACACATGTCGCCGCTGCCTTCGGTTTAAGCACCCGTTTGGAAATCTCGTATCGTATCCAAACACCAAAAGAAAAAACTGATGGAAAAAGTGGCGAATCAAAAACGAATCAAACGTTCGAAACACATGTAATCTTAGTCTCAATTCCCATGATTTTCCACACGAAAGCCGCACACAGACCTGAAATCAACTACAAATCACGTTTGATTTCGTTCCATCTCTCTGCCAAATCGTTTACAAAACTTCAATTGGATGTCGATGGAGAGCCATTTTGATTGTGCTAAATCGATGTGTTTGCCCGACTTTGGCGAAACGGAAAAACAAAAATAATCAGTACTTTTCGCCCATTTTGGCCAAGTTTTACTTTCTTAGCACGTTTCGATACAAAAAATCGAATTTCGAAATTGTTTCCGGATATTTGTTCGTTTTGTGGAGATTTCTTTGGCTGAAACGAATTAAGTGGAAATTATAGACTTTTTTCGGCTCATCGAAATGTTTTTGCTGTTTTTCGAAATTTTCTGACATCGATCCAATAAGAACCCTTGTTCATTTATTGCATAATTTCTATTCAAGCAACGATACTTCAGTGAATAATGTGTTTTGTTAGATTTGAAAAAAAAACCTATTGAACATTCAAACAAAACAACACACAATGTTTTCTTTTCCACAATTGATTAGTGCTCGAGTTGAAAATGGGAAAAATAACATCGAATCCGAAATATTCAAAATGAAATGAAACAACAACAAAGCATAGCAGAGACAGAAATGATGCAAACTTGATGATTGCAATGTGCAGACGAAAAAAAAAATTGTGATTTTTTTTCAGCGATAAAAAGTCACTGCACAAAGAGAGCGCGAACAATGGAGCGAGAAAAAGAAGAAAGCCGTTATTTCTAACCTCATTGAAAATTCATTGGATGAGCGTTGATCTTTTTCCACTTGCTTCAAAAATGCTACTTTTTTCGCATTGGTTTCTTTTGAAGTCATTTGTTGCAGTGCTTTTTTCGTTGTTGTTCGTGCGAGCCCAGACGATATTGTGGTTGGTTCATTTTTGTCATGTCGATGCAATGTGCCATTAGTCGCCGCAAAATTTTTCGCATATTGAGAGAAACAGTTACAAAGCATTCTTCAATGTCTCTATAGCCCCTATGTTATGCATCAACTCGGTACGATGCGAACGCGTTCAATACTATGTATGGCATTTAATCGTTAGCTGCTAGTGGCATTTTATGGTGGAAAATTCTAACAACAACAAAAAGTGAAAATCCCATCAAACATAACGAATGCCCAACTGAATACACTGAAGACTGCAGCTGGGGCAAAAGGTCGCCGGCTAATAAAAACTCTCGCTCTCGCATTTTTTTTTCTTTGTATAATCCTTTGAATTCAAAATTAAACACATCGGATGAAAGCATTTATTTTGAATTAGCATTTCTGAACGAAGAAAAAAGTTTTTCTTCTTTCTGTGATGTATTTCTTGTCTGTTGTGCATGCAAATCGTCTGTTTCCGGTCGTTATATTTTTTTCTCTCTCCTATTTGGTCTGTCCGCGTGAAAACTTTGTTGCACATTTTTTTCTCGCTCTATTCAGTTAACCAGATGAGTTGTCGAGATCGAAGGAAATCGTGAAGAAGACGAAGAGAATAAAAAGTTTTGACGAAATAGAAAAGTTTCTTTTGGTTCATTCAACAATTTTGTTAATTGTTTTATATCGATAATAAATGGTTTTCGTTTTTTTCTCTCGAAATTCGTCACGTCCAAAATCCGACGGATTACCTCTACTGATTGCAAAGTTTGATAAGCCGTCGGCATCCATGGGGGAGTTCAACCAGCCCAAAGAACATACAGATCAACGCTGATCGGTTTTACTATACGAAATAATCCATTTTTGTTTCGCAGATACGCCTTTCGGACGCGCGAACGATAGCAAATCCATCGACGCAATCGAATGAATACGGTTGAATGTTATTGACTTTTAGTTGGCAGTGCTAACACAGATGTTTTTGCTTGTCATTCTATACCTCGTTTGCTTTTGGCTCTTTATTTTACATTTTTGCTTAAAAATTTCCGTTGGTATTTTTTTGTGTGCTCTCTCTCAAACACGAACAATTTGTTTTGTCTCGTCGTTGTCGTCGTCGACGGCGTTTTTTTACATTCGATGGAAGGGGGGACCCTCGTCTGTGTCTACGAGTGCTATTTTTTCAGATCGTGTGGATTGTTAGTTTTCGTTCGACTCAAAAGGGATTTGGCTCTCAGACAGAGAAAGGGAACGACACTGTAAATTTCACATCGAAAAACCCGTGTTGAAATGTCGTCAAGCGAAACTATTCGTGGAGCGAACGAGAGCGCGAAAAACTTTTCTCGTGTTTGAATCGATTTTTTTTACGACAGTGTAACCTTTTATCCTTAATCTATATGCATGCAGTTTTTGGCTTTCGTCGGTAATCTTGCGAATGGTTTTTGGAGCGTGCGTGTGTATGAGTGAATGAGTGAGTGAGCGAGAGGGAATGAGAACAAGTGAACACCATCCGTATCCGTAGATTTAGTTGATGTTGCAGTTTACTGTTAAGTGTTTATGTATTTTTTTGGCAATGGTTTAGCGTGACTCTAGCTTCGAGCTCCATCGTCATCGTCATCCAAGCGTTCGTAATATCATTCAAAAATAGAGAGGAAAACAACCCGTTACCGTGCTTCTGTGTTATTTTTGTGTTGTTGCTTTGTCGAAGACATTTCAGCCAGATAAAACATTTCAACTTCAACTTTAACTTTAGTTCAAAGTTTTTTTTTCATCGTTAAATTCCATATTTGAATGCAGCACGCTAAAAATGGAAGCGAGCGACAGAGAGAGAGAGAGAGAGAGAGAGAGAGGCCGAGGCCGTCGTTACGACTATGGTTGATTGTAAACGGCTTGAGGTGTTATTCAAGAGGTTTCATGTCAAGTGTTGCATTTTCCAAGCGGCGCTTTGGATTTTCGTCGGTGTCGTCGACGGTTTCTGCTGTTCTGTTTTTTGGCCATTGTACAATGACGATTCAAATATAAATCTTTATCTTAATGTTTGTTGGTGCATCCGGACATTTACAACTACTTCAATTGCCACCTTTTTGAATGTGAATGGAATATTTGTTGTTTCTGCGCCACAAAGGCTCTTTTTGATGACGAACGAGTGTGTAATGGTTGGCGTCTAACCAAAAAAAACAGAAAACAAAAATACCAAACTTTGAAATGATTGTCGTTTTGAGAACCGGAACCGCATTTGCCCGTCTGAACCAACGTTCGTTTTGTCGACGTGCGAATTCCATTTTAACTACAAATATCTATAGAATTACTTCTTTATCTAATTTCTGTTTGTTCTTTTTTTCTAATTTCTCTTTTCAACTCGATTCCGTGTTTTGTTTTGAACCACCGAAATTACAGACGGCAACCGAAAGACTGAGACAATTTCAAATGAACGGTGGACCACAGCATAGTTTCGAAGAGACAATTCATCGGGTAAGTTCAACCGCATTGTACCTGTTCTATAAGAAAATGAAAAATCACTCGCCGTCACCTTATAGCGTAATGCTGGCCCCATTGAAATTCATTACTTATGATTAAACATTCTTCTTCTTTTTTCGGTGCATCTCAAAACTTTTTATCATTCGACCAAAAATCGTAAATTTTTTTTATCGACAAATTTCAATGAATCTTATTTTATGTGCGCATTTTTTCACTTTTCTCATCACGCAAATGAAAATAAATGTTTATAATCTGTTTGATTTTATGTGCTTTTCTCATTTATTCAGCTTAAAGTTCAAGAAGCTCTGCGAAAAAAGGAAAAATTCCAGCGAGAACATGAGGAGGTAAGTCGAATCTTCATCCATAATATCATTATTTTTTCTTACTTCATTTGCGTTCGGGTGATTTTTTTTTCTTGCGGTTTCAGCGAAAGTGAACAAAAAATTGAGGGAAAAAAGGCGGGGGAAATAAATTTCGTTATCAAGTTCTGTAAATCGACATGTGCGTGCAGCAGATAGAATATTATGGATTTGGCTAAAAGACACGGTGCTTTTTTTCATTCGTAATAAAATAAAGTATGCAACTGTGCACATTGCATACACACACGTTCACCTTCTTCACTTGAAATGCGATAGATGTATAGTTTTTTCCATCATCTCTCAACTTGGCAATCAATTTTATGCCTTATTAATATTTTGCTCCTGGTGTAAGTGCCCGAACGAAGCTTATCGCACATTTACTATCCGCCGAAACACCATATAAAAGCTCTCTGTCACTTCAACTGAGTGTAAATCAAGAGATTACCTATTAACTTTTTTTTTAAAGGGATTCCACTTCTTTTCTTCACTTTTTCTTTATGGTGTTTCAATCGGGCGATTGGAATCATGAACACGATCAAAGTGTGCACCCGTAAAGCGATAAGCTGGCTAAAAAGACAGCACAGTTTGCACGTGACATCACGTGCATTTTCAACATTACAACGTCACTTCAATTGAGCACTGTCAGATGAACTCTCGCTAGATACTCTTATAGTCGATACGAGCGAGAGCGCAAAAACAACAAAAAGCAACGCTAAAACCTGTTCAATACATTTATTGATAGTCGTTGATCGAAAAATTTCATTTCTTGTGCACCTGTGATTTTTTCCCATACGCCACGTTTCCTTTTCTGTATTTATGGCACGCATCCGAATCACAATCATCCACCGAAAGAGGGAAAAAAACAAACACACACACACTCGGAATCATTCGAATGGAAAATTATGAAATTGGTTAAAACAATCGCTTTCGAATAAATTCATTCAAATATCAAATACAGAGCGAACGTGTTAACTTTACCATTTTCCATTCAACGCTCTGTCATTAAAGCTATTTCGTTATTTCCAACAATTTCCTCCTGACACAATTTTTAATTTACCATTTCATTGCATCTCATGGGCGAACATGTTTCATCCACTTTGTCGCTTCCAATTAACAATCGCCATTGTCACTTGCATATATGCGCGATGCAAGTCCATTGAAATCTGTGAACAAAAAAAAACGTCATTTCCCTTCCCAAGTTCAATTCCGTCGTATATGTATCGGTTTTGTCCATTTATTTCGGCCAACGAATCTCAACAATTAAAAATAAAAATTGTTCGCCAATTCCATGCTCATACAATTTCCAATTAAAAGCTGACTGCATCTGAATGAAATGTGTACGATGGACAAAATTCATTGTAAATCGTACATTTTTCGGGCTTGAGCCATGGCTGTCAATATTTTGGATAGAACAAAACTTTAAATGGGAAAAATATGGAATGCAAACGCTGAAAATGTGTAAAATTCGGTAAATTGTAGACAAATTACCGAAAATTCTCGCATTTTGAAACCATTTTGTTCGGCAGTTGATGCATACGGTTTTTATACGTGGTATATCGCATTCAGACGCTTTTTCCCTCTCGCTTTGTCCGGGCAATAATAATAATAACTCAAGTGAAAACGAATGAAAATGTGAAAATCATTGTTGTTAATTTGAAAAGTTTGACGACAATGATTCCGCAATAAATCGCACATTGAATGCCAAATGTGAAACGGCATCATCATTTCGAACGTAACTGAATCATCGTTGCTATGGTTGTCTGCTGTCTGTTTTAAAACCAATAATCACTCGGTTTTCACGTTGTTTTTTTTCTTTTACTTTGAAAATTGTTTTAGATTTTGCGAGATATACGTCAAGGATTGTTGCAGTTGAGTCGCGACGGACGAACAGGTAAGCATCCAATACCATTTTAAGATAGAACAACTTCAGCAAATCAATAAATTCTAGCGGTGCGCATCGTGAATCAATAGAAAGAAAAAACTTCTTCTATCAAAAAAGAAAGAAAAAAAAACATCGAAGAGTAAACTTTCACTAAATAAAAGTCAAAATGAATGGTGAACACTGGAACACCCGACGATTTAAATCTTTGGCTACGTGCGAAAAACTTTTTTTTTTCATTTGACTGCCACTTCATTAATGTATGTGTGTATGTATCTGTTTGGAAATGTGAGATTTCGAATGCAGTTCACGTTCGACATCGACGTATCCGAATTTGCTCTCTGCTCGTTTTTCATCAGTTCAAGTTCTGTACAATAATGGCGGCAATAGTGACTAATAAATACAAAAGTGGCGACAACATACACATACAGAAAAAAAACGCGAGTAACAATAGCACACGCCATCGAGTGTTCCGTTGAAACTAACAAAACGACACTTATTATTATTCATACTCTACTTCACCGCAACGAATTCGCTGCATGCTCAATTTTTCATTGTAAAGCTTGATTCCCGTTCAGCTCAACGAGTTTCCTTGCGGGCGCTATCGCACGATTTGCGACATTTCGTTTCGGCTTCGGGTCTCTCTTTCTCTCTCTCTCTCGTTTGCTCTCTAAATGATGTGACAATAACAAATTGCATTGACATTGATTGCTTTTTCCATATGCACGCTCGACAATCGATTCGAATCGAATGGCATGACACAGTGCACACGTGCCGCTTGCAAAAATATTGAGCCATTGAGTCTATTATTTGCGTGAAGTTTAAACTACGACGTCGACAATTTTGGTAACACTGATAACCACCACCATATTACACAGATTCTACATACAAAAGGACCAACTCATTTCATGCAAAATCGCGAGTCACTGATTTTTTTCTCTTCTTGGATGGAACAATCTGAAAAAAAACCCATTGTTAATGGAAAGAATGACAGTACGACAGTTGCAGCATTCCAAAGCTTCATTGATCGCATTGCATCATTAATATAATCACCCACAATTTCGATCGCTTAGTATTACATTAGTCGCATTTTGGCTTTCATCCAGGCAGAGAAGAAGAAAAAAAGTCGCACGAAAGACGGGAAATAATCAGATCAAGTGATTCAGCGCGTACGTTACAGCTGAAAGCGACAACTCATTCATGCCACCACCACCACCAATACCATCAAATCTTGCCATTCCAAAAATTTATTAGTACCACTTATGCATGCAATTTGTCTTCGATCGAGTGGTGCACCCCGCCATTGGTAACGATGAAATATGACGGCACATCCAAATTAGTTCACGCAAACACATGCAAATGACTTCGAATTGGGTGATTGTTGCTATCAACTGGATTTGTGTGGGAGTGACACGTAGAGATTTTTAAGTCCACCGATAAATCGATCTGAAAAAATCCACATTTTCTTCTATCGTTATGATACGTCGTATGCAAGCTTGCAAGCACACTGATGACCAGTACTTGACCAAACCATTTCACTTGACATTTTACATGACGAGCTGAGTGCACGTTGAACATAGCTCAATGTAACAATAGCTCCTGTCATAGAAGTCCTGTGTTCTTCCATCATAGTTTAATTAGGTCATGCACCGTTTTAATTGATACCACATATCATAAGGTCACATCATACGACCTGGCTTCCATGGATATTGGTTGAAATCTATTTTCGAATTTTAGAGATAGAATTTGATATATCGTCCTTTTGTCTTGTTACACATTCATCAATGAGAGAAGAGTGTTCTGCATTTCTGGGGTTTTATATATTTTCTAGGTGTTATCTAGGGCTAATTTTACGTTGATAACAGTTTCTATTAGATAATTATAATAGAGAACGAAGGAATATTTGATATTTGGCATAGCTATGCTAGATCTCGATACTTATCTATTAAGTAATGAATATGTTTCCGAAATTGGAGTATTAATCAATGTTCCATACTTGCATAATCGGAAAAGAACAATACTTGATAGTGACTTTCTCCATTTTACCCATTTTCAAAGCAAAATTTGTGCAGTTTTTTTGAAAATTTCGAATCCAAAAGAAGACTCTTCGAGAAAAAAATCATCTATGAAGCTGGTTATAAATTTAGTTGCAACATTCACTATCAGGTCAACTGTGAATCAAATCGATAATGGTGGTTTGATTCTGGAAATTTAAACGGGCTGCCGCAAAATTGATTTTAAGAAAGAAAGAAACATTGCAATGCTTTGAAGTGAGGAGCATTTCGAAGAAGGACCGCCATTATAATAGCTTTAATTTAAAACTGAAATGAAAAATCTCATGATCTTAAGTTTTCACAAAACCAATCGCTATAACTTTTGACCAAGTTTTATAATCCGCTTTTCTTTTGCATCACTTCTCAGATTGTGTGTGCGTTGGTATTTGGAATAAGAAAGGCGTCCATTAAAAATTAGGCAAACTATAAATAGTCGAGAGCGATACGGGAGGCGAGGGATAGAGAAAAAGAAGCGGTGAAGCCAACATCCAAACCAATTTAAAGAAACGCAAAGATGAAGTCCTAACTAAAAACCGAAAATTGGTTTTGTGCCACATCGCAATATTCAACGCTATTAAAAGTTGACGAAAGATATTACGTTTAATGCTTGCCGCTCTCTCTTTCTCTCTCGTTCTCACTGTGTATTGCAATGTTCAATATATATATCCAAGAACTTTTCCGAACGACCAAAAGTGGTCTTGGTCTGGTCCGGGTGAAATACTATGGGCATTCGCTTTCATTTTATCCATCAACCGTACTGATAGAGTTATCAGAAAAGCAGCTAAAAACTCCACAAGAAAACGGATGAATCGCACTTAGCTTTCTTTTACTCTGTGTTATAGTTTGGTGGAAAAAGTTTTATAATATGTTTTTTTCTCATTTCTTTTTTCTTCTCTTAACTCACTTTATTTGAGGATGAACCTTTATTTCGAAAATAAAATGTGAAAAAGGGAAAGAAAAGACATGCACATACAAACTAAAATTAAGTTTCGTCAATTTTTAACTTTTCCCACAATTTCAATGAAATACATTGATTTCTATCAATCTTACATGTGTATCAAAGTGTGTGCGGGCGCATTGAACACGAGTAAATAGAGAGCAATCAGCCAAAAACTTTTGTGACATCTTCGAAGAGTGCGGAGAAAAACTTCGGTGTTACACAACATTTAACAACATTCGATACGAAGACGAAACATGTGCACATTCCATTCTTATTCCTGATTTCGTGTTAATTTGTTTTGCCAAAGATATGGTCAAACAATGACTAGCATGGGTCAAGCCAGCAAACGCATGTCGATCGATTTATTCAGATGCTGTACATTTGAAATAAAGACATTTAATTTTCTAATCACCTTTTGCTCGTTTCATGGCTCCCAAAATTTTATAGACTGCATAATAAAATCGAATTACGAAACCAATTTCAGCTTCATTTCCGATACCGTCTACTTCTCCTCCCCATTCAATTTTCATTTCTATGATAGAACTTCTGTCGTATTTATCAAAAAGCTTTTATGAAACGCAAATTTAGAAGAGAATCCAAGGTTCCATTTCACCTGTCTGCAAAAAATTGAATTACGCAGTAAAAAAAAACTTTTCTGGCAATCAACAAGTTCAATGTTTTAGAAAATAGGAAATATCTTAGATTGAGTAGGATTTCACAAGGCTGTTTGAAATCATGTTTCAAATCGAAAACTTGAGCATAAAGAGAGAGAAAAAATAAAGAATTTTCATAATAAAAGTGAGTACGTTTTAAAAACTCTAATCTCATTGCTTCCGCATTACAGTTTCCCATGACGTCTTGCAACTGAAAATAACCTGAAATTGTTATTTTACTTGGTCAGTCATTTGGAAATTTTAACGAGCGAACGGGAATCTGTTCTGTGATCCATATAATTTCGCCCTGAAACCACCGTGTAACCAAGAGCAACCACTATACATGGCATCTCGGTTTTTGAGCCAGAAAAAGAAATAAAAATGAAATGTCGCAATAAAAGTTCGGACCCTTTGAAAACCCATCTATATTTATTCTGAATTTACGATTTGCCGTACCTTTAGAATATAATAAAACGATTACAAATGCACACAATTTGTTTCGTCCACACGGTTCCATTTTCCCCTAAGGGGATTTATCTCTCGCAAATGCTGGGAATGCATTCGCATTTCAGAACAAAAATTCGAATGTTTGCGAATGCGACGAATGCGGTTGTGACTACATAATTCATTCGTTCATTCGTGTTTGTGCATGCATTCGCAACGCTTCCGTATGATTTCTATGTAAAAATTCGCACTCGCATTCGTGAGAACGTTCGAGAACACCAAAATACGACTGCTATACGAATGCGAGTGCGAATGTTTACATAGAAATCATATGGCAGCGTTGCGAATGCATGGCACTGAGCGCGAATTTGTGAATAAAAATTCGAATGCCGACATAGAAGAAATTTGTCGACTTTTTATTGCATTTTTTTTCGTACCGTTTACATAACATTTTAGCCACGGCCGTTTCATGATTATTTTTCGGGGAAAATTCGTTTTTCCATTGAATGCTTATGACAGGATTTCGCTTAAATACTCAATGATAATAAAATCGAAACGTGGAAGAAAAAAAATGCAGCCCAGATGCGGCCAGACCGAGCGAAATTAATGACAACGCATTTAGAATGAACAAAAATGTGAACAATATCAATTTCGGCTGGCTAAGCCATTTTCCATTTGACATGCAACTATTTGTAATCACATTGCAATTAATATTGTATTAAAATGGATGGCGTTTTATTTTTCGATAAATGTGCCTCACCCTCTGCGCTCGCCCGTGTGTGTGCGTGTATGTCATTGTTTTGTAAAATGCTGTAATTATGTGCACCACAAAACATCAATTTTTAGGCTTAATTTGTTTGCATGAATTCACATACCAAAATGTATACTAATGACACTGTCCACTGCCGCGACCGAGCAGAT